CCTTCACCTCTTCTTCCATTTGAGGACACAGTGAGAAGACAGCCATCTGTGGGCCAGGAAGAGGAGACTCAAACTCTGAATGCGCTAGCAACTAGCAACTTAATCTTGGACTTCCTGGCCTCCAGAACTGTGAGAAATAAATGTTTTTTGTTTAAGCCACTCAGTCTAGAGTATTCTGTTATAGTAGCCTAAACAGGCTAAGACACAAAGTGTGTAATTTTTGTGTCTTGCTTCTCTGCTCATTGTATTTGTGAGGTTGTCCATGTTGTTTCATGTAGCTGTAGATAGGTCAATTTTATTGGTGTGTATTATTCTGTTGAATGGATGCACCACAAATTATTTATCCATTCTGTTGGTGAACTTTGGGTTCTTTGCAAACTTGGCTAATTTGAATAGTGCTGCTCTGCATACACTACTACTGGGTATATGATCTGGGAATGGGGTGGTTGGATGATGGGCTCTATTTAAGTTCAACTTTAGCATATAATGAGAAACTGTTTTCCAAATTTATATTCATAACAGCATGTATAAGAATTCCCATTGCTCTACATTCTTGCAAATACTCCATAACATCATTCTTTCTTTTAAACATTCTGATAATTGCATAGTGGCATATCACTGGGGTTTTAACTCATTTTCTCGATTACTAATGAAGTTGAGTATGTTTCCTTACATAGATATTCTCTTTGTGAAGTGCCTGTTATGGTTTCTTGCCCATTTCTCTTTTGGACAGTAAGAGCTCTCAGAGTATTTTATATATTCTTGCCTGTTGTTGGTTTTATGGATATAAAACAAACATTTTCTTCCAATCTATGGTTTGCCTTTTCACTTTCTTAATGTTATCTTTTGGTGAAAAATGTTCCTAGTTTTAGTGTAGTCCAATTCAAAGACTTTCCCTTTATGGTGATTTTTCTTTCTTTGTGGCATGTGTGTTGCTTAAAAAATATTTCCTTAGTTCAATGTAATGAAGATATTCTCTTATATCCTAAAGTGTTACTGTTTGCCTTTATCTTCTGGGAATTGATATTTTGCTTGGCAGGAGGTACGAGTCAAGTTTCCTTTTTCCCACAAGGATATCCAACTGACTCAGCACCATTTACTTAAAAGGCTATCCTTTTACCTCTGATTGCATTGTTATGTTGTCATAAATCAAGTGACTGTATATTTATGGATCTATTTCTGGACTTTCTTTTTTATTCCATTGGTCTATTTGTCAAACTGTCACCAATATCATATTTCTTAATTATAGTAGCTTTATAATAAATCTTGCTATCTAGTGGAGCAACTTCTCTCATCTTGTCTATCTTGAAGAGAGTTTGCATATTTTTAGCTACTTGCATTTCCATATAATTTTAGAAATGGATCATCAGTTTCCTCAGAAAAAAATGTTGGGGTTTTAAATATGATTTCTTTGACTCTATAGAAAATCCAATGGAGAACCAATATATTTGTAATACTGAGTCTTGTATTACTGGAATCCTATGCTCATGAATGAGATTGGTCCATAATTCTCCTTTCTTATAATGGTTTTATCAGGTTTTGGCATCAAGATCATGCTAGTCTCATAAAAATGAGCTATTTTTATATTCTCTAAGGGGCTTGTATAGATTTGTAGTTATTTCTTCACCAATAAAACTTGGATCTGGAATTTTCTTGGTAGGAAGATTTTTATTTACTGATTTAACAAATTTAGTAATTATAGGACTATTTTTACTTTCCTATTTCTTTGAATTTTTTTAGGATTTGTGCATTTCACTATATATATTTAAATAATTTATTTTTTAGAGCATTTTTAGTTTCATAACAAAATGTAGAGGAAGGTATAGATATTTTTGATATACCCCCTGCCTCCACACATGCATAGTCTTTTCCATTATCACTCACCAGAATGGTATATCTATTACCAAGGATGAACCTACATTGACGCATCATAATCATCCAAGTCTATAGTTTACTTTAGGGTTCACTTTTTGTATACTCTGTATGGGTTTGGACAAATGTATAATGATATATATTCATTGTTATAGTATCATAGAGAGTATTTCCACTGCCCTAAAAATATGCTGTACTCTTCCTATTCATTCCTCCCCCAACCCTCACCCCTTGGCAACCACTGATCTTTTTATAGTCTCTATGGTTTTACCTTTTCCAGAATGTCATATAGTTGGAATCATACGGTATGTAGTCTTTTCAGATTTGCCTCTTTCATTTAGTAATATGAATTTAAGTTTTCCTCATTTCTTTTCATGGCTTAACAGCTCATTTATTTTCAGCACTGAATAATATTCCACTGTCTGGATGCACCACAGTTTATCCATTCACCTACCAAAGGACATCTTGGTTGCTTCCAAGTTTTGACAATTATGAATAAAGCTGCTATAAACATCCATGTGTAGGTTTTTTTGTGAGGACATAAGTTTTCCACTCCATTGGATAAATACCAAGGAGCATGCCTGCTGGATTGTGTGGTACGAGTATGTTTACTTTTGTAAGAAACTGCTAAACTGTCTTCCAAAGTGGCTGTACCATTTTGTGTTCCTACAAGCAACAAATGTGTGTTCCTCTTGCTCCAAATCCTTGCCAGTGTTTGGTGTTGTCAGTGTTTCAGATTTGGGCCATTCAAAAGATTTGTAGTAGTATTTCATTTTTGTCTTAATTTGCATTTCCCTGATGGCATATGATATGGAACATCTTTTCATATATTTATTTGCTATCTAAATATCTTCTTTGGTGAGGTGTTTGCTAAGGTCTTTGGCCCATTTTTTAACCTGGTTGTTTTCTTATTGTTGAGTTTTAAGAGTTCTTTGTACATTTTCATTAACAAAATATTTGGTCAACCATCCTTTGTCAGTTCTATTTTTTGCAAATATTTTCTCCCAATCTTTGGCTTGTCTTCCAATTCTTTTGAATTGCCTTTTGCAGAGAAGAAGTTTTTAATTTTGGTAAAGCGCAGCATGTCAACTATTTCTTTCATGGATCATGCATTTGGTGTTACATCAAAAAAGGCATCACCATAGTCAAGGTCATCTAGGTTTTCTCTTATGCTATTTTCTAGGAGTTTCATAGTTTGCATTTTACATTTTGACCTATGATACACTTAGAGTTAAGTTTTGGAAAGAGAGGTCTGTGTCTAGATTCTTTTTTTCTTTGTTTGTTTTTTTGCATGTGAATCTCTGGTTGTTCCAGCACTATTTATTTCTTAAACAGATTATCTTTGCTCCATTGTATTATCTTTTCTCCTTAGTCAAAGATCAGTTGACTATATTTATGGGGGTGTATTTCTAGGCTCTCTATTCTGTTCCATTGATCCATTTGTACATTATTTTTGTCAGTACCTCACTGTCTCCATTACTACAGCTTTATAATGTCTTGAGGTTGGGTAGCATCAGTCTTCCAACTTTATTCTTCAATATCATGTTGGTTGTTCTGGGTATTTTGCCTCTTCCTATAAACTTTAGAATCAGTTTGTCAATAACCATAAAATAACTTGCTGGGATTTTGAATGAGCTTGCCTTGAATCTGTAGATTAAGTTGTGAAGAACTGACATTTTGATACCATTGAGTTCTCCTATCAATGAACATGAAATATCTCTCCATTTACTTTGGTTCTTTGATTTTGTTCATTAGAGTTTTGTAGTTTTCCTTGTATAAATCTTGAACATATTTTGTTAGATTTATACCTAAGTATTTCATTTTTGGGGGTGCTGATGTAAAGGATATTGTGTTTTTAATTTTAAATTCCACTTGTTCATTGTTGGTTTATAGGAAAGCAATTGACTTTGTATATTAATGTTGTATCCTGCAACCTTGCTGTAATTGCTTATAAGTTGCAGAAGGTTTTTTTTTGATTTTTTGAGATTTTCTACATAGACAATCATGTCATTTGTGAACAAAGACAGTTTTATGTCTTTCTTCCCAATCTATGTACCTTTCATTTAATTTTCTTGTCTTGTTACATTAACAAGGATTGCCAGTACCACTTTGAAAAGGACTGGTGAGCATTTTGTTATAGTTTCAACAATATCTTCTTAAGATCTTTTTCACAATATTGTCTTGTCATTTTTTAAAATATCTTCTGACGTTCTCCATTTCTAACTTAAATTGATTATTTGTGGCTTTTCTCTTTTTTTCTTGATCTGTGTCTTGGAGAGGTTTCTCAAATGCATTGCTTCTTATAATGAAACAACTTTTGTTCTTGTCAATACTGTCTATTTTATGTGTGTTTTCTATTATATCAGTTTCTATTCTTACCTTTCAGTTTCTTTTCTTTTATTTAGGTTTATTTCACTGTTCTATTGCTAACTTCATGAGACAGATGTTTAGCTTTTTGATTTCATCTTTTCTTCTTTTGTAATGAATACCCTGCATTTCCCTCTGAGAATGGGCCTAGCTGCATTCCACAATATTTTGATTATCATAAGTTAGTCAAATAATAAGTATACTTATTAATTCATATATATATGGAGATTTTCTACGTTTTTTTGTTAGTGATTTTAAGTTTAATAGATTTGTAGTTATAGAACATATTTTGATCATTAAAATCCTTTGAAATTTGTTGAGTTTTCTTGATGACTTAGCATATAGTCAATTTTTAACAATGCATAGTGTGTGTGTGAAAAGAATGGGTATTCCGCAGTTGTTGGGTACTGTTTTCTACAAGTCAATTAGTTTAAGTCTATTAATTAGTTTAAGTCGATTAAGTCTATTAATCATGCTGTTCAGATCTTCCAAATGTTTATTGATCTTTTCTCTACTTCTATCATTTACTGAGAAAATTGTGATTGTGTTTTCCACTATGATTATTGGCTTTTCTATTTCTCCTTGTAGTTCTATATTTTATTTCTATATTTTAAGGTTGTGATATTAGGTAAACACAAATTAAGAAAGGATTAAAATGGTTGACCCTTTCTTATGTTTCCCTCTTTGTCTCTAGTTATGTGTTTTATCTATTTTGATACTGGTATAGTTTAATTAGCTTTTTTGTATTAAACAATCATTAGGATTGCAAGTGTGGGCGGCAGTAGTGTCTGTGGAGACCACGGCTGCGGCAGCACTCCAACTCACTCCTAGCTGCAGTCTCCACCATAGAGCCGGGGAGAGAGCCTCCGCCAGCGACCCAGGGCAGCACAGGCACCCAGACCCGAACTCCAAGTTGGGAGACAAGCTGAGTAAGAAGAAGGGGTACAATGTGAATGATGAGAGGGCTAAGGACAAAGACAAGAAGGCCAAAGGAGCTGGGACAGAAGAGGGGGAAACCCCGAAGGACAATGAGACCCAGGGTGCTGCAGAGACCCCAGAGGTGAAGGAGGACAAGGAGGAGAAGCTGGAGAAGGATGCCTAGGATGCTGCCAACAAGCCTGAAGACAAGGAAGGTGAGAAAGACAAAGAGGCAGCCAAGGAAGACACTCTGAAGGCAGAGACGGAGCAGACGGAGGGAGCTGAGTGGAAGCCGGGACCCCCAAAGGATGCTGAGCAGGAGCCGGCGGCTGCCTCCGGCCAGCTGCAGGTGGCAACGCCCCTAAAACTTTGGAGACCTAGGCTGCGGAGACCTTGGCCCCACCAAGGATGACAAGAGCAAGAAGGGAGAGGAACCCGCATTGCCTCAGGCTCCTGCAGCTCCTGCCGCGCAGGAGACAAAAAGTGACGGGGCCCCATCTTAAGACTCAAAACCCGGCAACACTGAGGCTGCCCCATCCTCCATGGAGATCCTGGCAGCCACAGAAGCACTCAGTTCCATGCCCAAGGCCAAGCCCCTGCAGCCCCCACAGACGAGGTCAAATCTGCCGAGACCCCAGCAGCTAATTCTGATCAAACCTTAGCAGTGAAAGAGTAAGAAGGACAACCAATGGAACGAAGAATACCGCTTAACAACAACCTGTCTCTCTGACTCCTTCTCTGTCTTTTTGTCTCTCTGTCTCTCTCCTATACTAACTTGTTTCAAATTGGAAATAATGGTATGTATTGCCCAAGAACAAGCATGTGGTCCTTTCAAGGGAGGGAGGGTGTTGGGAGAATCCAAATAGTATTTTTGTGGGTAAATACCTAATATACTTTCAGTCAACTCTACCAATCAGTCCTGGATTTTAAAGATCAATGTCTGAAAGTACAGTACATCTTTTGTACCTGAACTGCTGTTACATGCACTCCGCCACTAAGATCTGAATGTCTTGTCTTCTGCAAGGGGATTGGGAGTGATGCGTTTGATTCTGCCCACAGGGCCTGTGCCGAGGCAATCGGATGTTCATGAAGGCAGCATTTTCTGTTTTCTTTTTCATTTACAGCTTTCTTATTTTGAAATTTTTTTAATGTTGTGGATGAATGCCAACTTTCAGACAGCCTGCTTAGCCTGTTCACATGTATCTTGATGCCAATACTCCATTCTTCCTCCCCAGGTCTTTTTGGGAGTAACAAACATTCTTTCATCCTACTTAGCCTCCCTAGATTTCTCATGACCAGTTAATGTATGTCCATGGTTGGGTGCACCTGTAGTTCTGTTTACTGGTCGGTGGAAATGAAAAAAAAAAGTCTGCATTCATCACAGTTCCAGTTTTCTCTTCCATCCTGTCACAAACTCCAACACATCACTCATTAGAAAATGGAAAAAAAAAATAAAAAAACAAAAAAAAATGTGTACAACAGATGCATTGAAATTATATGTAATTGTGTAAATGGTGCAACAGTAATAAAGATAAACAATTAAAATAAAAAAGATTGTAAGTGGTATCTTTTCCATCCTTTAATTTTCAACTGTTTGTTCCTTATTTTGAGATGTATTATTTATAATCAACAAATAGTAAATTTTACAAGTTCAATATGACAACTTTTGTCTTTTAATAGGAGCATATAATTACTGACATTTTGGGTTTAAATCTCCTATTTTATATTCATCTTCAATTAACCTAACTTTCTTTATGCTGTTTTCCTTCTTTCTTGCCTTGTTATTTTGCTAGATTTTTCTTAATATCCTATCTTTGCCCTCCTCCCCCCAATCAACATCAGCTTGGTAGCTATACAATTACTATTCTTTCAGTGGTTATCTTGAATAATACAAGGTGCATCTTTAAATTATCCAAAACTAATACTGCTTGATTCTTTTATCCATTTCTTGACATTATAATGATCTTGAAATACTTTAACTCCATTTACTACCCTCTCAACTTTTGTGCTATTTTTTGTCTTGTATCTTAATTCTAAGCACTGCTTCTTTGACTTTCTGTGTTTCATGTTTACTATTTTCTTCTTACTTTACTTTCAAAAACAGAAAAAATCCTATCTTTACAGAACTTATATTGCTACTGGGGGGACAGTCAAAGTAAAAATAAATAACAAAACATAGAGTATATCAGATGATGATAAATATTTCAGAGAAAAATAAAGCAGGGAAGGATGATATGAAATGTTGGGAAGCATGGTTGAAATTGTAAATGAGGGTGATCAGGGAGGACCTTGAGGTTTGAGCAAAGATCTACAGGAGTTAAGAAATCTAGGAAGATATCTATAGAAGAGCATTTGTAGACATGGTATTTTCTATTTGCAAATGGAAAGGCTCTGAGGTAGAATTGTACCTGACATCTTCCAATATCAGCTAGGAGGCTGGGATGGCTGGAGTTAAATGAGTGTGAGAGTAGAAGTGATGATATCAGAAGGGTTTTTATGAAGAGGTAACAAGGTGGGAGTCAAGTGATTTAACTAGGGCTTTGGTAGAAGGATTTTTGGCTTTTATTATGATATAAAACCCAACTTAAGAGAAACAATGGTAGTTGAATGCAAAATACAACTTTTCTTAGCTTACATTTTTAGAGGGCTTATTATACACCAGGCACTGTTTTAAGCTCCTTATGTGCAGGATTTTATTTCATACTGTATAAGAAAAATGTAGATTTCACACAGGTTAATTAACTTACCCAGGCTCACAGCTTGTATGCAACAAAGCTAGGAGTCACGTCCATGAGGTCTCTTAATTGTAATTCTACATTTCTCTGAATTGTCATTTAATGACAGAATATTTACCGATCATCTGGAGAGATCTAACTCTGAACTCTATCGATGAGCTTTTCTGCTTCCTCTTATTTCAGTGCACATAGTGTCAGCAAATGACCCCAAGATACTCAGTTGCTTTACCGTGTGAATTATTTACTTGTTCTACATTTTATTGACACATGCTATACACCTAATTCTGAGCCATTTTTTCAGAAATGCCTAATGCCAGTCCACAAGGATGGAGAAAGTTACTGTAAATGGATACATCCAAACTAAACATCATTACTGAAAAAAAAAAATTGTGTCTCATAGAGGACATTGGTATATGAGTTATTTTAACCTACTATAAGATCTTTCACCTATATCTGAGTGACTGGTTATGTTCCTTTTACACTTTTTATAATATAAAATACAAATTAAATGAGTAGACTATGCAAGAAAAACCTGTACTTGAAATAATCCCATGTTACATTTGTAATGTCACAAATGAGTAGTATATGCATTCTTTAGTCTATCACCTTTATCTTCATGCCTGATTAGCCCTCCTCAGAAGCAGGGCTGCTGGCTAACCCAACCCCTGTGGTACAATCAGGAGGTTGTGCAATTCATTATGTTTTGTACACAATTTGGCTAGAAACCTGAAGATTTATTGATGCAATGTAAAATATTAGGTGGCAGGTAAAAATAGGCCTGTTAATGAATGTGATTAGAACAGCAGCTGGAATGAATTGCAGTGTTTGCAACATCAATGGAATTAATAGACCTTAAAATATTCAGCGAATCAATTAAAAGTCTTCTTTGGGATTCAAAAAATGTGTGTTCATGTGCTTAACTTTAAAATGAGCACCGGGAGAAGAAATGGCCAAACCTTCTGTCAGAAAAGTGTTTAAAGATTCCACAGGCGTCTGACTGTTTCTGGGTCCAACCAGCTTCTGAAGGAAGCCCTCGTGGGCTGAGCGGCAGGCAGCTCAGAACACAGGCTCCAGACTGTGCTTCCAAAAATTAAACAAGAGAAGCATGTGAGAGCAATTGAAATGGGTATCCTGGTCACACTCCCTGAGGTTCTGCAACCTCATTAACCTTTGAGAAGAGCACAGCTTCCTACCAGGATGAAAGAATAAAAGAAGATGATAGTTTCTTAAGCGTGTTCTTCTCTAATGGTCACCCCAAAGACCTTGAAAAGTTTCAAGCCAGAAGTTTTGGGCTGAAGAGTCTTGTATAAAAGTCCTTGGGAGGAATTACTTGGACAGCATCATGTACAAGCAATGGAACATAGATATTATCTAGCATTCCCAAAACTAGATTAATTAGCACCCATTCCCCCAACTAACAAACAAATTAAATAGGCTTTTTAAAGCTATGCCTTTATGTCTTTGCCTCCAGGGAAGAGTCAAAGAAAGCACCCATTGTCCTCATAATTGTTTTACAATGCAAAGTTGAAAGTTTCTCTTTAAATTAGTATAAAGTAGAAGCATAAGATAATAAAGCAAGGGAAATTATTTTGTTTAGACTATGATTGTCTAAAACCGTATTTTAATTTTGGGGCTATATTCATACCTTATTCCATGGCCAAGTTCAAAAGATATCTACTTGTTCGCAGGTTAACTACCTCCTACATGATTTCTTTTTTTTTTTTTAATTTCCCTCATAGACTTTATTTATTAAATTTTTCATTTTTTTGACTGCGCTGTGGGGCTTGTGGGATCTTAGTTTCCTGACCAGGAATTGAACCCAGGCCCTCAGCCGTGAAACTCTGGTGTCCTGAACACTGGACTACCAGGAAATTCCATCCTACACAATTTCTATGATATTTTTTTTCTTATTGCATCAGTAGGGAGCTGGGCAGGGTCAGAAATCGAGCTGTCATAACTTTTGCAAAGATGACTTCAGGATTTCTGAACCTGTAAAACATCCTACTGGTTTCTTAGTGCCCATGGCTCCAAGCTACAATGTTACCCCTAAGCCTAAGCAGACAGAGCGAAAGCCATCATGTACAGTGCTAAAGCACAAAACAGAAAACTTGAAAATAGGTAAGAAGTAGTTTTGAATTTATTTGAACGTCAGCACTAGAAGCAAATCGGTCAAACCAGAGGAACATATGACATTAAGTTAGAGAGAGAAGCCTTTGTGGGTGTTTCAAGGAGCTTGGCGGTTGAGGTACTGGTCCCTTATTATGCCATGTTTTGTGTCTAAATATATGGCTTTCCTTTCCCTTGATTTAGCAATGTCATGGATGCTACACTTATGCTTCACAGTCATGACTAGAGACTTTTTATTTGACATATAAATGCAACAAAGTAAGAAGAAAAAAGAGTATGAAAAATTTCTGAAGTAATAGAGAAAGAGTTGAAGGAAGGGATAGAGAGAGATGAGGGTGTGTGGACACTTCCGAAAGAAGGCCTGACGTACAACCAGTAGACAACTAAGTCTTGGAGATGTAACGCACAGCACAGCGACTGCAGACCACAACACCACATTATAAACATCAAACTTAAGAAGGTACTAGATGTGAATTATTCCCACCGCAAAATAGAAATGATAATTATTTCATGAGTGGAGGTGTTAGCTAATGCTATAAGGGCAATCATATTGCGATACAGAAATGTATCAAATCAACATGTTGTACACTTTAAACTCACACAATGTTTATATGTTAAATATATTCCCACTAAGAAAAAAGAAGACCTGTTTCAAATTCACTCAGCTGTGAGGGATGAAAAGCAAGAAACAGGAGAGTGGGGAGAAGAGGTTGGGGAAATGAGAGTATTTATCTCATGGCCACAAAGGAAAAGTTAGAGACTGTAGCCAGGGTGGTGGAAAATAGTGCTGAGTATCATCATGGTGCTAGTGACAGATTGCAACCTACGATTTATATTTGGGAATCTTTGTAAATCAGATATTGGTGTGTTAAAGAGTGCCTATTTTTTGAACATTTGCCTTGGATGTACCAGTGTTTTTTTTTTTTTTAATTTTTTAAAAATTAATTGATTAGGGCTTCCCTGGTGGCGCAGTGGTTGGGAGTCCGCCTGCTGATGCACGGGACGCAGGTTCGTGCCCCGGTCTGGGAGGATCCCGCGTGCCGCGGAGTGGCTGGGCCCATGGGCCATGGCCGCTGAGCCTGAGCTCCGCAACGGGAGGGGCCGCGAAGGTGAGAGGCCCGCGTACCGCAAAAAAAAAAAAAAAAAAAAAAAAACTTAATTGATTAATTAATTAATTTTTGGCTGTGTTAGGTCTTCGTTGCTGCGTGCAGGCTTTCTCTAGTTGCGGTGAGAGGGGGTTACTCTTCGTTGTGGTGCACGGCCTTCTCACTGTTGTGGTTTCTCTTCTTGTGGAGCATGGGCTCTAGGAGCAGGGGCTTCAGTAGTTGTGACACACGGGCTCAGTAGTTGTGGCTCGTGGGCTCTAGAGCACAGGCTCAGTAGTTGTGGGACATGGGCTTTGTTGCTCCACAGCATGTGGGATCTTCCTGAACCAGGGCTCAAATCCGTGTCCCCTACACTGGTAGGTGGATTCTTAACCACTGTGCCACCAGGGAAGTCCCTGTACCAGTGTCTTTAGCCACACTGCATTTTCTTTTAAGACAAGCTTAATGCTCTTCTTTGTCATTCAGCACATCTACTGTCAGAAGTGGATGA